AGATCTGACTGGTACAGGAGGAGATTGTCCCTCCTTCCCCGGCAGAGCATCTGGTGGATTTGAACCGTGCGCCTCTAGGATTGTAGTTGCAGCTCCTTGCCACTAGGCCACCAGAGCTCCCCTTATTTAAACATTCTTAATAACTCAGCGTGTCCAGACCCTTACTGAGCGCTTATGCTAATCACATTCTGATTTCTAAAAATAAAGCTGTAGCAAGGATAGTGTTATCATAGTCATTTTACAAACAATGAAGTAGAGGCTAAGAGAGTTTACAATACACTACTCGAAAACACACACATACTCCACTCAGTGGGCTGAAGTCAAAACCAGTTCTTTCTGACCATACAGTCTGCCGCCTTACTGACTGCCTGGCCGTGCGCATAGTGTTGGGTACGGGGTGAGGATGACAGCTGGCCAAGTCCCTGGTATCGTGCAGCACTGTGTACAACAGCCCTAAACCCTGCTCTATCCTGGGCCAATCTTATTGCCTCTGACACACCCATCCTGATTACCCCAGTCACTGAATCAATCCATCTCATTGAGGGTCTTCCTCTCCTGTGCTGTCCCTCCACCCTCCCAAGCATGACGTTTCTCTCCAATGACTGGTCCCTCCTTGCAACATATCCAAAGTATGTTAGATGAAGCTTCAGAATCCTTGCCTCCAAGGAGTAGCCTGGTTTCACCTTCTCTAGGACAAACTTGGCAGTTCATAGTATATACAATACTCTTCTCCAGCACCACAGCTCAAAAGCATCAATTCTCCTTCTGTCCTCCCTAGTCTTTGTCCAGCTCGCTGATACACAGCAAGTAATTGCAAAGACTATGGCCTGGATCAGGCGCACCTTAGTCTCCAGATTGACATCGTTGTTCTTCAGTACTTTGGAGAGGACCCTGACAGCTGACTTTCCCAATGCAATTCATCTTTTAATTATGAAGAAATAAAACAGAAGAGGTCCATGCATGAGTAGATCGAGAATAATATTTATCATGAATCAGGGACAGCAGAAGAAAGGAAGACCTTCGATGAGATGGATTAACTCAGTGACTGGTGTAATGCAGGTAGGTGTGTCAGAGACAAGGTTGGCTCAGGAGAGAGCAGAGTTCAAAGATGTATATACGGTCACTATGAGTCACAAGTGACTTGACAGCACATAACAACAATAACACCATGAATCAGGCATCACTGCTCATTTAGTGCCTGACGTTAATTGTCCTAAAATGAACATTTGTGAGTAAGTATCTGTCTCCTAACCAAGAGACTGGAGGGTTGAATCTGTCCAGCACTTTGTAGAAGAAAGACCTAGATGTCTGTTCCCATAAAGACTGCAGCCTCACCCCAGTCAGAATAGCAAAATTTAATAGAACACTATATATCAACTGCTGGCGAGGTTGTGGAGAAACTGGAACCCTTATTCACTGTTCGTGGGAGTGTAAAATGGTGCAACCACTGTGGAAGGCAGTATGGCACTTTCTCAAAAAGTTGCAAATAGAAATATCATTTGAGACAGCAATTCCACTACTGGGGAATATACCCTAAAGAAACCATAAATGCCACCCAAGCAGATATATGCACATCCATGTTTATCGCGGCTTTGTTCACAATAGCAAAGAGTTGGAAACAACCTAAGTGCCCATCAACAAACGAATGGATAGAGAAGCTGTGGTATATTCACACAATGGAATACTAT